ATAAAATTGCTTAATGTTTCACGTAGATATTAAGCTTGAAATGATGCAATTACTTCCTAATCTAATAGTTCAAGGTATAGTTGTGTTTTCTGAAAAAAAAACAAATTCAACTTGCTTAGATCTGCTTAACAACAAATTAGTTTTTTTCGTGTTATTTCAATAGATTCAGAACTTTGTTATGTTTTTCAATTATTTCACTAATATAAATATATTTAGATTCATTATATTTCTTGAAATATTATTCGAAATAATCATTATTAACATACTTTCAATTCTTGCAACAAATTGAGAATATTAACTTTGCAATTTATAGAATAATTTCATCAATAATCTCCTTAATCACTTGAATTATAACTATGAATATGATAAGTAGTTTAATTATTATGAGACATATTAAGTTTAGTGTTTGGATAGAAAATTTTAAATTGTAATATATTTTGGTCTGGACTTGTAAAAAAAAACGAATTGATTTATATTTTATTTTGAAGTGATAACACTGCGTTATGTTATTTTAATGTGTTATTTATGGTAATACGTGTAAATATGATTGAATTATTTGTTTCATCTGAACAATGCACAAGTGCAAAATCATGAAAATATAAAGGTATGTGTTTTATCGATAAGACAAAAGCAAAATTATCAGTTATTTGTACATTTCTTCGAAACTTGAATAGTTTAGAACTTTTTACGTAACTTATGTTTTATTATTATTATAATTGTACGTCTGATTGTATTTTTATAATTAAATTTATCTATTTTCTGCTATTGACAAAGCAAATCGACTAAAACAAGACGTATTTAAATTGTAGATTAATATAAAAGAATGGTATATAAGTAAAAACAAATAACTAAAGAAAAATAATAAGTGTATACAAAAAATAAGTTGTTTTTTTAGATAATTATTTAAATATACTGTATGTTAATAATGAAGGTAAAATCATCTCCGAAAATCGGAAATAATTGCGCGAATGCTAATTGTTCGGTGGCGGTTTTAATGCATCCGGCAATTTTCGTTTTTTTTTTTCTTCTTTTTTTACATCCGTGATCTCCGAATATTTGCCTTGCCTCCGTCGTATTAGCCCATCTGGTCTCTTCACCAGAAGCAACCACCATATGGCCAGTCCGTGCCTGGATAGATTTGTCGAAAATAATTTGTACAGAAGTTCACGTTTATATATCCAAATTGTCGTACGACCAATTAAACATATTAATATTCATATAAAAAGTAAATATCAACTTAAATAATTATAGATGTTTATTTTAAATGAATAAACATTGTATTGAGGAATTAGTTGATCTAATTAATTAGTATTTGATATATGTAATTAATTTTATAAAGATTAAATTTGATTCTAATAAATTCGTAAAAGAATAATTTAGATAATTAATTGTATGTTTTCGACTATAAATATGAATACATTTTATTTATACAGTATTTTTCAGATCAATTTATATCTTATTTAACTTATTTAGGAGATAGAACTTATTTTAATGAAACTAATATTTGTTAGATTTTATGAACAACACAATAAAAAGTGCGTCCATATAAATCGATTTGTTTATTGTATATTTTCTTTAACCATAGTATATTAGTATATGAGAGTAATTGCATATAAATATTGGGTAAAGTAAAAAAAATTGAGCGTTTTTCGTTAGATAGCTTTAGCGAGCACTTATTCCATTACCCAGGAACTGAAGATTAGCCAGAAAACCGTTTGGAACCATTCGCATAAGACTGCTCACAAGAAGAAGCAAAAAACTCCACCCAATATATTATGAGAAATTCTTACTTTTAATAATTAAATTTATATAATGTTATTATTAAAATTTCCAATAAATTTTGCTAAAAAATTGCAGTATTTTTTTGTGTACTCGAAAATTGAAAGTGAAACCAATCGATCCCCAAAAAATTTCAAGTTCTTCAATTGTACTTCAAACATGAATTTTGGAAGAAAATTTTTTTGAGTTTGGAGTAAATATGAAATCAATATTGGCTGTAAATTTTTTTTTTGATAATGTATTCAACTTTTGTTAATTATTAGTTTTGAACTAGCAAATGATATTCATCGTCAATTATAGTACTTATGAGATAGAACTTATTAAAGAGATAAAAACTTATTATTAACAAAAAATTCAAAATCTATGAAACGAATCAATTAATAAAGTCTATGAAGTAGGGGTTTCGAATTTTTTATAAGAAGAAATGGAAACGTGTTGGTGTGTGTGGCAAGGTGATAGTAATTTCCCGCACCGATTGGTCTTCCTACCCTCATGCCATCTGAAATAATGCAACGAACGATGGGGGTGGCTGCTATTGTTTTCACGTCGACATCAAATGCGGAATCGACAACCAACATTTGCAACAGGCATATGTTAAACCAAAGTCATTAGTCTCTGAACGAAAGAAGAAGAAGAAGAAAAAAAAAAAGAAAGCTCTCATCCCAGGGTTGCTTGGTTAGTTAGTTGGTTGGTTGCTGGGTGATGTTGATTCATGGAACAGATGGCACGTGCCCAAAAAATCCACGTTTATATATCATTTACATGTACAGGCAGCCGACGACAGAGGCACAACGGCACCAACGATCTCACCCATCGCTAAGCAGATTCCAATCTTCCTGCAGTATATTATATAAAACTCATCTGCATAATCTCGAGACCATCTAACTGTTCGCGATAGGGGGGAGGAAGAGACCAGGAAGAGACAAAACGCCACGTGAACACGCGAAGATGACCAAAAAACAAAAAAAAAGATATCTTATCTCGCGTTATTACCCTCCATTAAATTAAATGTTTGTAATTATGGAAATAAAAATGAAAAAACATAAGAAGCGAGCGAAAGGAAACAATAAAAAAAATACTGTTGTTTTTAACCCTCTTATAAATTCAGCAACCGATTTTTATAAATTTCATGCAATTTATTTAATATAGTTATTGAGCAACTACTTAAAAAAAATACGAATAAATTAAAACGAATCTGTCGGAATTTTGTTTACAAACTGTCGCGTTAATAACTGCAACATTGTTTCCAGATTGCATGCAACAGAAAAATGTAAAAAAATGGAAATGCAGATGAGTTTCAGAGAGAAAACTTGTAATTATTGTTGCTGAAGAAGTGCTTGTGGCTTTTTGAGTATTTGATTTCATAAATTCTTCTTTTCTTTATCTACCGAAAAATTACTTTGAAACACTTAAAAAATGAATAAATTATAACGAATCTGTTGAAAATTTGTTGTAAACTGTCGCATTAATAACTGCAACATTGTTTCGAGATTGCATGCAACAGAAAAATTTAAATAAAAAAGAAATGCAGATGAGTTTCAGAGAGAAAACTTGTAATTATTGCTGCTGAAGAAGTATTCGTGGCCGTTTAAGTATTTGATTTCATAAATTTCGTACAATTTAGTTAATGTAGTTATTGAGCAACACCTTCTTTTTATCTACCAAAAAATTACTTTGAAATACTTAAAAAATGATTAAATTATAACGAATCTGTTGGAAATTTGTTGCAAACTGTCGCGTTAATAACTGCAACATTGTTTCCAGATTGCACACAACAGAAAAACAATTAAATAAAAAAAAATACAGATGAGTTTTATGAGAGAAAAGTTGTAATTATTGCTGCTGAAGAAGTGCTCGTGGCTGTTTGAGTATTTGATTTCATAAATTCTTCTTTTTTTTTATCTACCGAAAAATTACTTTGAAATCCTTAAAAAATGAATAAATTATAATGAATCTGTTGGAATTTTGTTGTGAACTGTCGCGTTAATAACAGCAACATTGTTTCCAGATTGCATGCAACAGAAAAATTTAAATAAAAAAGATGAGTTTCACGAGAGAAACTTGTAATTATTGTTGCTGGTGAAGTACTCGGGGGCGAAAAAATCGATAAATAATAATTAAACTACAGCATTTCGTCGAAAATTTAATGGCATTATTATTAATGTTTGTTTTTCCTGCGGGAAGAGAGAAAGAGAGAGAGAGAAAGAGAGAAATGATTAAATCCTCGCCGCGGTCGTTATCGTACTTAATTATGGTGTGAGAGCAAATTTCGAGACTTGACAAAAACATAATTACAGAATTATTAGCACTTGCCAGTCAAGAAAGGAAGAACGAAGAGCAGCAAGAAAGAAAGTACTAAAACAGAGCGATGAATGCGAAATAATGGGCGCAAACCGAACCCAAAAACAAAAAAAAATTGGACTGTGCATACGGAAGAATCTGCGAAGAAGCCCCGTTACGTTCACCGATTTTATCAACTTCATAATAAATGATTCGAAATATATATACACAGAAACACAGAAAAAAACTATAATAATTGTCTGTAGATACTCCAAAATGGCGATGTGATTGCAAACGAGAAAGCAATAAATTAATACCTAAAAGTTATCAATCGTTAATCAGAATCGCCATGAATTTTTATCGTTTTCAATTAATATTAGCAGTAAATAAACGCGCACGACTTAATGGTAATAGGATTGTTAAAGAATTTATTAGCAGATAAAAATCTTATGGGAAAAAATGAGAGAGAGAGAGCAAAGACGAAGTAGAAGGTAAATGAAATGAAATGTTGCCGGAGCGTTTATTTTATTCGTGGGAATCAGAGGGATTAATCAGTGAAAACCGTACGCCGTCGATGACGGTCTAATCCGTCCAATGGAAAGTTGAAAAACGAGTAAACCACACCTTTTCTATTCGCCTATCCAATAACAGTATGGCGCAGGTGAAAAGTGGGTGTGTTTAGGCGCAGAGTACATTGTGCACGTGCCGGCACTTACCTGTGTTTATACCTTCGGGATATAAAGTTACCTGAGTGTCTGGTAGGGATGAGTTTGTCTTGTGCCGGTATACTTGGATAATACTATATCAGTTCGTGTCAGTCAGGTGTTACACAACGTCGAGGCGCGAGCCTTCCTGACAAACAAACAACAACACACCAACATTTTACACATATTTATTTATTTTTTTATACATATATACACATACAAAAACACAACGTGAAGTTTAATCCAACAACAACAAATATTATATTTATAAACACTTTGAAACAATAATAAATCAACAAGTGGCTTAGTGAGAAGTGCCTTTGATTACAGTGCTAGTGCCTAAACAGAAGAAGACAATTTTGCATTTATGCATATGAATCCGCATCATCTCTGAAACGATTCGTTTAAACGACGCAAGGTAAATTCCAATAAGACTAATTCATTTTACAAACTAAACTCGTTTTACAAACAAGCAAACAAACAATACAATTATTAACGATGTCGTTAGGAATGTGCATACTTCGAATATTGGAAATACTCGCATTAAATTTGCATTTATGCGATTTGCTTCTTTATGCCGGCAGTGTGAAATTTCGATGTGCACGCTTTCAATTAGCGATAAATAAATCGACGGATGATGATGATGATAGAAATTAAATCGGAGTCGTAACATTGATCAGAAACATCTCTCTATCGAGAAGGTGATCAGTTTCGCATTGACATAATTTGTTGCATTTCAATCGACGTAAAAGTAGAATAGACGACATCAAAAACAAACTTATACTATTATTTATATATATATATAAAAAAAACAACATGTTTCTCGTTTTTACAAGAATCAGGTGTTGCAATATTCTAAAAAGTATACTAAATCTAAAGATAAATGTTAATATCAAAAAAGATTCAGTTTTTCAATTAATTTGAAATTCAATTACAAAATAATAACTTTTATGTTTTAAATAATATATTTCAATTAGAAATTTATTAAGTAATGTGCACTTTATATACTAATTTATAATTGTTGTAAAATATCGAAAATATAAATTATTGCTTAGTAACAACCAAGAAAAATATTACAAAATAGAGATTTTAAGTTTAAATTATAAAAGTTTCTGTTAATTTGTATTATTTTTTAATAATAATAATAAAAAAAATAAGTTTGGAAGTTTAATAAGTAATAAAGTAATTTTACAGCATTATAGAATTAATATTCTAGATTCTAATAGATTTATTTGCTTATGTTTCTACATTATTCTATTATATTGTTATAAAACTTCTCGATTTAAGTATTTAGTAATTAAAAAAACTAATTAAATGTATAATGTTGTTTTAACTAATACATTTATCAAATAAGATTTGTGTGTTGTTAATTATGTGTATTTGAGAAAGAATAACATAACATTAAACTGTAAAGTTCGGAAGCCGTCTACAAATCCTTTTAAGTAGGTAAAAAGTGCTTCCGCTGTGGAAAAAAATATGTTTATATATACATATATTTTATACATGAATGGTCCGTAAAATGTTTCCTTTCGGGTAATAAAATATAATCCTTTTAAAAAAGGGGGACCGCCGCATACACCATGAATGGGTTAATAATAATAATCGCATTATGGTTTTACTGGCATCAATTTTAAGATTTCTTGAAGAGACGTTTATTGTAGTTTCTGTAAAGTTGATCCTCGTAAAGATTTCACGCGTCAATGCAATAAAAAAAAGTAACATTCAATAACGTCAATCCTTGATATCATTTACAATGTGTTTTGTAGTCTAAAGTTAATCCGTAGCCATAACATTTAATAATGTTATTTACAAAATGATGAATGAGATAAAATGATTTCAATATCTAATCGATGTTTGCTATAGTTGCTACAAATTGAATCTTTTTTATAACGTCATCGATTACCAATTATTAATTATATTAGTTAATTGATTTACTCTAATAAAACATGCTTTTATACAAGAAATAATTAAAGTTAACTATATCATTTAGATTTTACTCCAATTTGGTTTTTTGAAATCTACAATAAAATGTATATAAAAGCAATGTGAAACAATATAAAAATAACAATAAGGAAACATTATAGTATTTTATAACACATTTAATAATATTTTGTGTTTGAAATTTTGAAATAAACTATGCATGTAGTCTATAAGCAAATTTTATGAAATTAATCTTTATGAAATGGATAAACTAAATTTACAAATGGTTTTCAATAATATTTCATTACGTCCATTTCCCTGTTGTATTGAATATTTTTAGTTAATTTAATTTGCAAAAATATATACGAAACTAAGGAAGTTGAAGAAATTATTAACTTTGTAAATTTGTAATTAAGTAACAAATTATTATTTTTTTAAAGAAAAGCTTAGCTTCACTAATTAATTAATTAATTTAAGTAATGTATGATTATTATAAAGAAATTGATAAACTGTTTGTTGTTTCCATTAATTATAAGCAGGTAAATTCCATATCAGTTCAAGATTGTTTGTTATTATTGCAACTAATGTTAAAGATTGCGCACTTCCACTGTGGAAATAACCGAAGATAGTGACTATTTAAATGCCTATTATATGTTTCCTTGTGATAACATCGAGTAAACTAGGTGGTACTTAATTAGGAGAAGCGTACGCAGTTCGCAAATGAAATATATTTGTTGTTAGGTTCTACAATGAACGTATTGATAACTGTTTGGATGAGGGAATAGGAAAATAAAACTCGCGTTTTTACCTTTGTTCTATTCAGTTTCTGGTCGCCTAATAAAAATTGAGTTACGTGTAATCTACTAGCAGTATATATGTGTGTGTATACATGCATAGCATTGTTACTAAATGCGTCCAGCGTGGTCTATTACACGACAATCACGGTAATGGGGGATCAATAGACGAAATAATCGCGTGATCGCTTTGCTTTTAGGGATGTAAACAGCATTAGGCCGGACGGTCGGACTTTCCATACACACCACAAACATAATGCATGTGTATGAGTCGTCCTCCCTCACATACACACACACACTCATACACTTGCAATCATACAAAAGAGACGTACACACACGAAGTCCAGCAGGGCATTGATTTATGCCATCATTAAATCGCGGTGTTTGCTGTGTATAGACCACTAAAATTTCGTCCTCATTTCCCGCCGTCGAGAAAGCTTTGGGCAATAGGCGACACGGAATATGGCAGACGACATGAACACGAAAAGTATAGAAACAATTGAAACTCATAGCTACTGCTATAATCGCAATTTAAGTTGTGCGTTTTTAATTTTCTCCCCTAGAAAACGTGCGCACTGTTGTTGTTGTTGTTGTTGATGTGTGTGTGTGTGTGCTTCTGTTTCTATTCTTTTTTTATTCGTATCCTATTTTCATTTCCTATGTGGTAATTGACAAGATTCGTTACACCCCACATGTACGCCACAATTATTGTATTAAATATGCAACGTAATTAGTGAGCTGCGGTGTATACTTTCCATTTCCAATATGTGCATTGCATATATATATATATATATAGTTAGACCGTGTAGCAGTTAGGGTTAGGGCTGTAATGTTTCTTGTTCCGTCCCTGTTATCAGAAATGAACATCGCGGTTGCTCATCCACATATAGGTAGTCCCCATTTTGGGAGGGGGGGGCATTAGCAAAATTGGAAATATCAATTTTAATGTGTGATTTTGCCCGTCGTTCCAGAATGCCACGATTATCTGTCCTGACCCCCTACAACGGAAGGAGTTCTTCGCCCCCGAGATCCCCGACGATATCGCCGTCGAGTAGTCCTCAAGCCGGGGTGTCCTCGAGGAGTGCGAGTCCTTCATCGCCCAGGTCGCCCTTACCCAATTCCAGATACAGCGCGTTCTCTTTAGTCTCTCCCAGATATCTGCATCCCAAAGACTACATTTCTATGAGAGGTAATTGAATACATCAGTTCAATGTGTTTTTTATTTAAATAATTTAATTTTTGTTTCGTTTAATTCCTAACAGAAATGGGAGCATTAATGTACAATAACCCTCTAGTCCCAGTCGCCTATCCGCCTTACATGTGGCCTCATTTACCAGGACTCTTTCTGCCTTATTCACATGTCAACAGACCGGAATCCCTTAGTCCGGATCGAGCGACAGTCATTGAACAAGGATGCACTCCAGAAAAATCTAAAGCTGGTAAGTTCCAATACAATAATTAACTAAATCTTTTATCATTGTTCCATACACATACAATCTAAATGAAGAATACAACATAATCAATCAATCTAACATAATATTGCTTAGTTTATTACTATTTATTTGTTATGTTATATAAGTTACATTATAATCAGTTTAGTGAATGAGATTTCGCTCAGGTGGGACCACTATTATAAAAATTAAAAAAACGTTTGGGTGGTCTAAATTCGGCAACTTTTCCCCGGTTTAAAGGTTACTTAATTAAATTAATTTGGAATAATCTTCTATTAAGCGATTACTAATTACATTTTTACGATTTTATTGATCGTATTTATTCAATAATTAACGTTGCAAAATGTTTAGTGGATGAGATTTTCAATTAGAATCATTATACGTTTTCTGATTTGTTTCATAATTAAAAAAATATAGTTTATATTGCCTTAATTGGTTCGTCGCTTAGGATGGACCACTATTATTTATGGAAAATGTATCAGTATAGATTAAAAAAACGTTCGGCAACTTTTCCTCATTCAAAAAGTAACTTTGATTAAATCTTCTTTTAAGTGATTACTAAATGAACGTTTACGATTTTATTGATTGATAAATATTTGTTCGTCTCTTATTGAGTAATTAACGTTGCAAATAGTTTAGTGGATGAGTTGAAGGAGGAGTGAAAGCTCAAAGAAGAAGAAAAAAAATTTAAATAAAAGATGCAACGGATACGAAAGGAAAGTAATAAATTTCCACCGTCATTAACACATTGACATATGCACCGTGCAATTCCGCGGTGCGCATTAGCGCGGATAATCGAGGATCCGTAATTTACGTGTGTTGTGATGTGTGTGAGTGTGCCATTCCGCACTTATCGTCATGATCATCATTATCATGATGATGTGTATGCATGTACGAGTGTGCCGTAATTTGCATAAATGAATGTTTGTTCGCAGACGAAGATGCGCCGTTGAATTTGTCTATGAAAGGAAGATCGAGGTCCCAAAGCATATGGTCTCCTGGGAGTTTGTGCGAGCAGGAGATGAAAATAATTAGCATGAGACCGGACTCGAGCCTTGAGGGATCGGTTATTAGGCACGGCAGGCAGACGACGGACACGAGGTGGTCGTGGGACGCCGACAAAGATGGACAGACCAAAGTGCCGACGATAGGACCTTCCGGTGAAAAGTCTTTTACGGTGAGTTCACACAAACATACAATTTCTTTTATTTAGAAAAAAAACAATGAATCTATCAATAAATAATATCAATATTGAAACTGGATTACATTTACTAGTGTTTCTGACAACTTGATCAAGTACATTAGAAACTTGAACTTCGAATGTTATCTTATTGGTGAAATACTTGTCAATTTTGACAGATGTCACTTATGACATTTGTACTCCTATAATTGACGTCATATAGAAACAAAACATATATCTGAAATCATACCTTATATATGTATTCACCTATAGTTTGTACATTTCATAAGCACGTACAGGAATATACACAGAGTTGTTGGTGGTGGTCTTTTCGCGAGTAAGGTTAGGTAATTGCAGAGCGGTCAATTAAGTGTGTGGGAAATGCAGCAGTGTTTGGCTCTGCCCAATGCGGTATTATAATTTCATTAAAGTTTCAAAAATGATATAGCGTGACGGCCGCCTCAGCAAAGAAAATATAAAATGTATACAAATGAGACTCATCGGTAATTAGAAAACAATTAAATCCACGGCACACACAGAAATCGGAAGTGGAAGGAAGGAAGGAAGGGTTCACCCGTCCTCCGTCCGTCCCAGGCATCCATCAATAATTCACACCGAACAATTAAAACAACATTCAACAGAAGCAAAAATTATTACAACACACACAGTATCCATTATTTAACCATTAAGTTTTCGGGCTGACGAAAAATAGTCTTTTTAATTATTAAAACGAGAAAGGGTTTTCTCTAATTATATCATCTCATTACGAAGGAAACAATCCCCACCCACAATCCCACTAAACCACCGTGTTAATTTTTTAATGCAGATGAGAGAATTTCACCTGTAATCATCAGCAGTGCTTTACGTATGTACGTACGTACCCAACTTGTAGCCGTCTTGTTTTTATTATTTTTTTCTTTTAAACGACGAACGAACAACGAGCTGCCGAGCTGTAATTACAAAACGGGGAGATTTTAATTATTTATCCACCAACTTAATTACAATATTTGCTTTGAAGAAGCGAAACGCGAGAACACCGGACAACGGGCACACTCATTACCGTCGACTTCATTATTCATCCGACGAAATCCAAGAAATCATCATTTCCCAGACTCGTCTCACAGCCTTTTCTTCTCTTCTGTTTTTTTTTGTTTGTTTTTACATTTACACTTGTCTACATGCCACGTGATGACTTTACGACCAATTTATAGCAATTACAAATTTTGATATCTAACTACATTTTCATTAATATAATTAAGTAATTCTCACTTCTCACAATTTGAAACAAATCATAAAAAAATATTTACTAAAGTTAACAACAATTATCACAAGCAATCAGCACCAATATGTCATTTGTTAGTTCCTCAATTTGACACATGGTGACAGCTGTCATTTCATAACCCATTAAACATATTACGCATCTCATACGTTTGAGAAACACTGATTTTGTAGTAACAACTATTGCCAAATTTAGTAATAGTAAAAATTAATCAAACTTAAGTAAGTTACATTACAAACATACAAGATGACCGTTTTTTTATTTATAGATTAAAACTATTTCTTAGAGATACGGTTTTGCATTTGCTTTCAAAGTTATGGCACAAATAATTACCTCGTTATTTATTTCTTTTTAAAAAAAAAATGCAGTAATTTTTTAATGACTTGTGCCTACTTGGAAAATGATTATAAAATTTTCATCAAGCAATTATTTTTGTTTGCAAATTAGAAATTAATTATTTTAGATAGGAAAGAAACAATTTGCTAAATATAATATGCGTATTATTATGAGAGAAAACAAAATGTAAATATGCGTGATTGGAAATCTGCGTCCGTAATTAAATATTGTTTTACGGCCTTTTTTTTTACTGTGGTTGAAATTGGCGGAAACAGCTGACTTTCTTCAAAAATCGTCAAAGAAAATATGAAAGAGACGGACTTTTCTTCGTTCGTTTTTCGTTGTTTTTCTTCTATTTCCGGCGAACTCGAAGCTATTTGTTATTGATGAGCTCGGTGACCATTTGTTCTCGCGGCGTACTTTGGTCGGAGAAGTTTCGAAGCGGTTTCTGCACTGAATAATAGATTAATCTCATAATGTACGCCGCCGATCATTATACGATTGACTATGATTTAGAACTGATGTAGATTTAATGTGGGGAAAACTTTGTAACTCAAATTAACGTCGTACACGTTCGCTCCTAAATAATTCACAGCATAAACCGCCGATAAACTGGAAATACATATACATATACAGGAGAGTAATAAGTTCCATTTAGATACTTGTGATCCTCTTCCCGGTTCACCATTTAATTTGGATTAATACATTACGTTTTCACGCGCAAGCTTCATGTATGTTAGCGACGGTCAGACTATTGAAGTTTTCAAAGAGGAAACGTTCGTAAGCAGCAATTCTTCAAATCCAAATAATTTACAGACACCTCCAAATATGAGCAAACTGCATAGTATTCTGCGTGGGACACGTCTCGCGTTCACCAAAAGTGTGTTCATTTCATTCTTCGTTTAGGGACATCACAAAGACCGACTCGCTGCTTTCCCTCCAGTTTTGGCAAAATCTACTGTTGTTGTTTATTTTTTTGTTCACACCGACGTGGCGAAATATTAAGCTGAACGCTTAAAATCAATCGAATTTCATTATTAAATCGAATCGAGTCGCATACATTATTGATGGCATGTACATGTATTTACTGAAATCCATACGTCGCTGCAAGTTATTTACGGGCCCATTACAATGCTGTTGACATTCGTTTCACAATTAAAATCCTTGTTTGCAAATCATTATAACAGCAACAAAAAAAAACTATACAACTACAAATTATTTCCATTTTCAATAGTTTTGCATTTCAACCGGAACATTAAATGAAAACACAATTTAAGATTTTCAATATAGCGTTTACTCCAATATAATAGGAAATGTTTTTATTGCTTACGAAATTTTTACGAATCGCCACTGAAAATTAATCATCTAAATGTTATCGATGACAAATGTCTCTGTAAATTTAACTATAATTTAACCTGAATATTGAAACACCGCCTTCCTCGATGTACAAATAAGTCAATTTGATGACGAAACATGATTTTCCATTAGCAATATTACATGGGGGGGAATAAATAACTCGAAATCAAAACGGACTTTGTATAATTGCCTTTGTATAATTGATTAAATGAAATTAAGTATAATTACAAATTATAATTGTGTGGTTTGGCCTTGTCTGATTCTTTTCGATTTTACGCGTTTTTTCAGTGTCAACAATGCGGAAAGTCTTTCAAGAGGTCTTCGACATTGTCCACCCATCTGCTGATCCACTCGGACACGAGGCCTTATCCGTGCCAGTTCTGCGGCAAACGTTTCCATCAGAAATCGGACATGAAGAAGCACACCTACATCCATACCGGTGAGTACATCTATTATTTAATTGCCTGCATGCATCTTTTATATCGAACTGCGGAGGAGAGTCATAAATACACCGTTTTTCCTCTCCACGAACAAATATTATACTAAATAATTCATGCGACTGATACTACATTGAGCAATAATTTATATTGAACGGTGTGTTACATTATTTGCATGAATAATGCACGCATCGTGGAAGAGCAAAGCCCTGCTTCCACAATACATTTCATTTCTCTCTTTCTCTTTTCACTTCTTTCCGTTACGTTTGGAACATGAAATTACATGTATTATCTTATGGTCGCTGTTATTTTTATTCATATTTTTTTTTTGTAGAAACGAAACTTTGCTCAAAATTACACATTCGCAATTTCCCATATAAAACTTTAAATTACATCCATTTCGTGAACTGCACGTGAATACGTTTGTTTCGTATTAAATAAACGTGGTTAATTGATGTTTTTTTTTTTGTTGTTGTTTTAAATAACGTGTTGAATGGCGCAAAGCTGCACACATGTAAACAAAGCGCACGTAGTTTATTCGTATAAATTATTAAAAAGGTGACATTATAAAACGCTACTATCGATTTGTAAATTTAACGAAAAAAAAAGAAAGATATAGAGAATAATAAAAGGACAGTGTATAACGTAGGGAATTGTGGAAATGTGTTGATTTGTGTTTGTTGGAAAAAGCAAACAGTTCGTGCTTGTAATTATTCGATGGAGCACAACTGAAATGTTTGCACAGCGAGTTATGGAATAATAGGAATTCAATTCCAATTCCGATATTACATTATTATTATTATTGGTATTGGTGGACGGCGATTGCCTTCGCGATAAAGAGGTTGAGACCTCCAACGTATAAATTGATTCCCGATCGATGCAGTCGCGATCCTGAAACAAAGACCTGAAACCCAACCAGAGGAAGATTTCTGTTTTGTCCACTCTGTTATTAATGCTAATGCGACGCGGACGTTAAGTAATAGCTTCGAATTGACTTATAATGTTGTACCATCATTTATACTTGTCAAATACCAGTCAATCAGATTTATACATTATTTACTCGCCGCTCATTTTCTTGTACATTTAATCATAACTTACGTGCGGACAATCCGTTCGTTTCTTCGTACAAAAAAGAAAAACTGCAAACATAACTGCAGCAACTTATTTTCTTTAACATAAATAAAAATACATTAATTAATTTCATAAACTTAATACTTTTCTATAACCAAGTAAAATTTAAAATAAATTTAAATAAACAACAAATATTATTTGTATATTTATTTTGTACAGTGTAGATTAATAATTATTTATTCATTTACATTTATTTTATTTTTTACTTAATCTGTGTTATTAATACGTGCATACATAATGCACGTTTCAAATCATTATTTATTCATAAATATAAAAAAAAAATATGACTAAAATATATTATTTATACAATTTATATACATTTTATTTAAATAATTCTTAGAAATCTGATTTCGTGCACGTTTTTACTAAATTACAAATCCTATTAACATTGTGATAACACTTAAAGTTTAATAATCAAATAAAAAATTATCCTAATTGAGTAGGTTTTTCTAAAGTAACTAATATTTACACGAAATAATGCTTGAAATTTGGTTTAATTTCGATTTTAACTTCCTAATAAATACAACTAATAAAATTACATATTTTGTTGAATTCATATGTAAAATATAGCTGTTATTAATTTGTTATAACAAATAATTATTTAAATGCAGATTTATATTAGTAAAAGAATTTCAATTAGGTCAATTTTCACGTTTTTACTAAATTACAAATCCTATTAACATTGTGATAACACTTGAAGTTTAATAATCAAATAAAAAAAATATCCTAATTGCGTTTTCGTTTTTCTAAAGTAACTAATATTTACACGAAATAATGCTTGAAATTTGGTTTAATTTCGATTTTAACTTCCTAATAAATACAGATAATAAAATTACATATTTTGTTGTATTCATATGTAAAATATAGCTGTTATTAATTTGTTACAACAAATAATTATTTAAATGCAGATTTATATTAGTAAAAGAATTTCAATTAGGTTAATTTTCACGTTTTTACTAAATTACAAATCCTATTAACATTGTGATAACACTTGAAGTTTAATAATCAAATAAAAAATATCCTAATTGAGTACGTTTTTCTAAAGTAACTAATATTTACACGAAATAATGCTTGAAATTTGGTTTAATTTCGATTTTAACTTCCTAATAAATACAGATAATAAAATTACATATTTTGTTGTATTCATATGTAAAATATAGCTGTTATTAATTTGTTATAACAAATAATTATTTAAATGTTGATTCAATTAGGTCAATTTTCAAACAACGAAAAAGAAAACAAGCAAGGGTTCAATAATAGCATGTGTTTCGTAGAAAGGAAAGGGGAAAATGCTTTGATCTTTACTCTTATTTGTTCTATTCAATTATAAAGTAATGGAGATGAAAAGGAATCAGAGGAGATTAAGGGTGAAAGAATCAGTTCAAGTGAATTGAGGAAACCGCGTGTTTGCGGAGGAATCTTGATTACGCGAACAACATAATTCGGGCTTGAGATCCGCCCTTGTTCGAAACGAGCACACAGTAAACGTCCGCTCTTGCATAATTACAAGGTATCGGCCGAACGTTTCCATTTTTATGTATTCGTCCGTTGCTTCAGAAAACAAAGTGTGTTCGTCCTTTTTCGATGGTCGTGTGTGTGCGTTGCTGTGTGCACGTTTTTTCTTGTTTTTTTCGTTATTTAATGAAAGTATGACATGTGTCCGATGGTAATTTTTAGGACATTTGGGATGCTCGCAGCGAGCGAGCGAGCGACCGAACTAGCAAAGCAGAACCCATCGTTAATATGAAAAATGCAGGTGCATTAGGGGCGATGCGCGTGCTTAGGGCGTAATATGGACGCGTGCTAAACCGGAAGTTCACTTACTTCACCCCTTCCGTGAAGCAACTGTTCGGACGACTTCCTTTTCACACGTGGCGATATACCACCCTCACCGCCATCACTTACGCAGCTCATTTGCCTTCGAGATCATTCCGCATTCATGTACGTCCTAACTAATTGCGAAATTTCCCCGCAGTTTATTTATTAATTTCAGACGCAATTACGCGTCCATTACACGTCAATTACGTCGATGCATGTGTAACATTTTTATACACGAGAGTGTGTCGCGAGAGATCACAAACGACAAAAATTTAAAAGACGAAAACCGTTGCATAAGTATGTTAAAGGCCAGCACTCATCGGTAAATAATTATAAATAGGCTTCGTTTAAATAATCTCCAGATTACAGCCTGTGCGACACAAGTAATTAGTTGTTGTTTGCTTTTGCACGGCAATTACAGTCGCGATTGCGTGACATTATTGAAATTGACAAAAATTGTTGCAATTATATTACGAAAAAAGGTTACGCAAGTTTAAACTCATTAACTTATACTTGTCAAGTATTGTATAAAGTAGTTTCTCGCTACAACATATTTACTTGTATTAACACGCAATAATATAAAATTATAGAATGAAACACTTTACATCACTTGATATTTGACAAACTACCTGTATTCATCATCAATGATGTAACTTGTGACAAATAGTGTAAATTTGTATAAAGAACATGCGTATATCCATGACTACTCTAGAAGTCATTGTTAAATATAGTTTTATGAAAATTAATTGAAAGTATTAGTAATTTACAAACTTTTTTATCCAAATATTACGGATAATTTTTCAATATTTATGATCCATAAGTAATTTGGTTTAGACAGTATCAATTTTCATACAAATTTAAAGATCTGGTAAACCTTGGATATAAGTTCAATATACATTCATGCATTAACATAATCTTAACCTAAACTTAGGAAAACATTGATAATACATTTCTTGGGAATATTGATATCTGAATATGAATAGTTTCGATCATACGAACTCGTTTATTATTTCTTTATTGCACAAGATCCCAGTTGCGTAATCACTACATTAGTTTTGTAAATCACGAAATTGCCGGTTATTACGTAGTTTATCGATGTATAATGGCCGGAACGAGAGTAAAAAAAAAGAGCCTAATGTAAACGAAGGTGTTGTTGCATACGGCCCAGTCCGATCACTATAATCAGAGCGCGTTTTATTTGCGTGTTATTACAACAGAACCGCTCATTAGCGAATTATATTTCGCACGATACTTATGGCTCTTCGGATGGATGATGTGGATGGAACCACGTTTTCCAATCCACAATGCACCGCATTTACCTTCGCGCTTCGCTTCGTTTAATGCGATTTACCATACCACACTATGGCTTGATTTCTGTCTTATCATTTTGATTCCGTTCAAAGCCGAATAATTAAATTACTGATAGCTCCAATTCGATGTTCGTGTTTTCTTCTTTATTAGATAAAACTACGAGCTTCTTTAGCCAATAATAGCATTTACTTATAATTCTCCACTGAATTTATAAAATCTAACAATTTCAATTTATTGAATTTGAAGTAATTGAAAGTATAAATATGAATTTACACAATTAAGAGTTGTTTTTGGAACTTGGAAAGTTCCAATTTTTGACGACTGTTCTATTATTCATTACTCATTAAAGTTGTATGGAAAATGATGATTAAAGACAAATATTGTGGAATGTTTTCTTTATAATATAGTTTATTAAATGATAGATAATTACGTATGCATTAGTTACCATTAACTAATACGTGTTGGCAGCAAGCAACTTTTAAACGGGTCTTTGAATTGGTTGTGTTGTGGTAAAATAGTCTTGCATATGTACACTTCGATTTCGCTGTATGCGGGCTCGTAAACCTTCATCCATTACACCGTGATTATCTGCATTATCCGGGCAACACCACGATTAATTACTACAATCAAGCCGATCCAAGGTTCTAAATGAGGTTGATAGATTATCATTGACATGTAACAAAATAAAATAACGAACGTAGATACACGATATTGCCGAACCCGTAGAAATGAAATATCGATTCTAAATCCACCATTATTTATATTTTTCAGGTGAAAAACCGCACAAGTGCGTCGTCTGCTCGAAGGCTTTCAGCCAATCATCGAACCTGATTACGCACATGAGGAAACACACCGGATACAAACCCTTTTCCTGCGGTCTGTGCGAGAAGGCGTTCCAAAGGAAAGTCGATCTTAGGAGACATCGGGAATCCCAGCATCCAACTGCAGGTCCAGACACGATCATCGTCAACACCTACAGACCCACGGAAGTCTGCAAGAGCGATGAGTACATGCAGACCGACGAGGTGAAACAGGAAGTGACGAGCAGTAGTTAAATAGTCAAATAAAATGTAACAACAACAAATCAACCATTGTGCCATCAATCCAATGTGAATCGTGTGCCATTGGTATGAAGAATAATAAATGAAAAATAATACTAAAAAGTATCGTCGAAACCGTCCAAATGTGATGTGATCCCGTCCAATTTGTTATTTGTTTGTGAGATGAAGAAAATGGATCATCGATTAGTAAGTTAGGTGTATATTTATTTATAAGATAACCAAAGTTACGTGGACCCGTTCAGAAAAATGTTATTACTATATATTATAAATGTTGTACAAAAAAAATGTTTTTTTTAAATAAAAAGAAGAGAATGATTTTTTTTTGGGGGACAGTGGACCAGTCTAGTCTAGATTTAAACAAATAAAAACCATTTCAAAATTTCAAAAAAAAAAATTTGAATGAAATTGATCCAATCAAAAAGGTAAAAATCCATCTTTGAAAAAGGTGCAAATAGATACTACAGAAATTTGTTTTGGAGAAATTTTATGCGAAAAAAAAAATTTATAAATGATTGTTTTGTATATTAACTAAATTATATTTACAAAAAAAAAATTAATAAAAATTAAGTAACTCGAGCACTTGTAAACTGTATATATTTGCACACTTTTATTATGTTTCTTTTGTCCAAAAGTTTTCAACGAGTTTTTTTTTTTTCGTTTCGATGATGAGTTTGTTGCGTGAAGTGGAATAATAATAATACACATGTACAAATAAATTAATACGAATTCAGCTTGAACGATCATTTTATTGCGGAAGTGATGTGGAATACATTTATATTAAAAGAAAAAAAACTCTTTGGAAAACTTTCATGCAGCTATGACAAACCAAAGATTACTGTACATATAGGTAATAGTGAAATCATGTTTTTTTTTTGTTTTCTGTTCTTAGCCTAATACTAATTATTATTTAAAAACCCGCTTATTGTTGAATCGATATTCGGTTGGTGTATAGTCGAATGCAGTATATAAATTTCCATTCTGTTCGATAATCATGTTGTGTATGTTTAAATAATATTGTAATTATTCTTTGTGTCTATATTTTTATTTTATGCTTTCTGAAAATAAATGAAATAAAGTTTAAATTATACATAGTTCTTAATCTATAAATACCCTGAAACCCCATAAACACTAAAAAACACACACTCAAAACTTAATATTAATAGAAATTAAACTAAATTAACTATAATCTAACCGATTTTTATACAGATTCATTGTGATTTGAACATTAACAGTGAAGTATTTTGCATAAATTGAAGTAAACATATAAGACATAAACAGAAATTTTGTTTTTATTTACTTATTTTTATCTTTTTAACTATTTTTTATAAGTTGCAACTTTTTAATACAAATTTTGTAATTAATCAAAAAAAAAATATATACGTTATCAAAGTACAACTCGGATCAGTCCGGATTCACTATAGTCTGGTTTGAAGATTTCAAAATGAATTGAATTAGTTAGCTAAAGTTAGCTTAGTTGGCTAAATAAAAATTTATTCATGTAAGTATAATTGATTGCTTTTTTTGTGGGTTTATTTTGTGTTTCATACATTTAGTTCCTCGATTAGTACGGTTTCAAACAGTCCAATTATCAACACTAGGCTAAAGTAGACTTCCTATATTCATTAAGATTATTTTACAATTTAATCTATTTTAAGTAGACTTAATGTAGATAGATAAGTAAATTAATTTAGTCATAAACAATTTATATCACATGTATGCATAAAATGGACTATTTTCCAGCATATCTTTATTATTTTACTTGTTTCTAGAAATTAATGCTGATTTAAGAGTAAGTATATTTTTTTGTCCAAATTTTCACTAATCATTTAGATTTTTCTATTTGCATGTTTACATAAGTGAAGAAAATTACACAATTTCTAATAAATCTATGTAAAATTTATATAGTTTTGTCTAAAGTGCATCAGTCCTGGTTAGTTATAGTATTTGTTTTATTTAAATATATTGAGTTTTCACAAATAGATAGTGTTCTGTAAATGTTATGTTTTTTTCATTTTGTCATTTGAATGATGTCACTTTTGGCTTTATTTAGAAGCCAATTACGCGTAATTTTGTTTGCAGTTGTTAGTTTAGAGACAATTTTAACAGAAGTGCAAAAACGAACGATTTCAACAAATTTTACTTTTTTATTTCCGTAAAGACAAGAAAGTTGCTGATATCCATCAAGATATATATGAAGTATATGTAATGAAACTGAAGGAAGCAATCAAAGAAAAATTGCTAGAATTGGCAAATCGTGTTTCACCCAAAACAATGCAAATCCTCACACATATTTGATATTTTATTTGAGCTAATTTAAGAAGCAATGTCTTATCCCCAAATAACGCTGACCATCATATTACCATTTATTTCGAAATTAGCAAAACTCTTTGAATGGTAAAATTTGATTAAAGTTCATTCTTTGCATACAAAATTTGTACCGAAATATTTTGGGTGAAGTAAAAGTTCTGAGCCTTTTTCTTTAGATGGCTTTAGTGAGCCATATCTCACGATGTATACTTTGCATATTGTTATTCTATAACGCGAATTAAAGGTGACAAAAAGTTCTTTAACAGTTTTGTATTTAGTGAATTGAGTTCTGTGTTAGAGCCTTCCAAATTGGAGGTAAAAAAAGAGAAAATTCGATACATTCTTCAGTATAAAAAAACTTGTGTTGTTTAAGGACTCAATACACTATCGAATGCAACAGCAAAGCGTTGATTCCAATGCTTCTGTTCCGGTAATATGGACGTCAAAGATGAGACATTTCTGGTAGGCCAATCGTCGGAAATGTTGATAAAATCATGGAAGTCGTCGAGTCGGACGAGGAATTGAAGATTAGCCAGAAAACTCTAAGAAAAATATCGATGTATGGGTACTTCAAACTGGACAAAAGTTATCGAATAAAATGTAGCATATTTGATCTAAATCCGAAAATTCTAACTTTGTTAATTTCATCGTCGAAATAAAGAAAAAAAAAGACTCAAAACTTTTTACTTCACTCAATATAATCATAAATCCAGTTAGTTAATGCAACATCAGTTTTGTCGGTCATGTCGGAACCTTGAACAAAATATATTATTTACGAGAGAAAAGAAAGTTTAGTATCTAAGTATTAATTTACTACAAACTGAGAATATAATATAAATTGTAATATCATTAGTTCATGTGTGATAACCACCTTTTTCTTAAATGTGTTAGTTTTTATAATAACAAATAATAAATGTGGGCATCTGCCTCCAATCCAATTAATGGTAAGGAATTATTTTGTAATGATAATAATTTAAATTATAAATGCAACTAAAAAGAAAGTTAAAAGTAATACTGTTTAATTTATCCTCGACGCTTACTAATCACGTAGGGTTAGAAAGGCAGCCACGAACTGCGGACTAACGATACGAAATAATGTATTCCCAAATGTGTATTTTAAATTAAATTCCGAATCTAATGAAATGTTACGCTAATAAAATAATGAAGGAAACGAGAGAGGAAAAAGAACAAGAGTGAAATAAAAAAGAAGGAAGGAGAGATATCGAACAACCGTAGAACATCTGTCTGTTTGAATGGAATAAGGACGATAAGATTTGTATGTATAATAAATAAATTTGGTGAATGCTACGAAACGGAAAGAGACGGAAATACGGCGCGCACCGAAGAAGATACACCTGCTTTTAACCCGTGCCACCAAACTCATACGTTATTGTGCTCACAATTATCAGTGTAATGTATGGAAGGAAGGAAGAAACGTCGCCGGACACTTTTAGTTTTTCAATGTTGTAAATTTCAATTTAAATTGTAAACGATTTTTTGAATCACAAATCAATCCGACTTAAATTGGAACACACAGACGACACACACACGTGTATTTGCATATTGGTGTAATAGCCACCCTGTGTTTATTTATTGCTCTCGGCGCGACTAAAATATTTACAGTTCGCGAACTTCCTTAATTACAAGAGTCTCGAATACATATTTACACAGCATACATATAAGAAAAAAAAACATAATATTGTATGTCCGTCCGTTTTTCCATTCCCTTTGAGCCACTTTGTAATCATCGGTCAATTACAAATGCACTTTACGAAACGGCCACGTCTGCAATTCCATAGCCGATTTAAAAATCTGATTGAATTCCCGGTACATNNNNATACACACACAAACGGACAGTTATTACACGCGAACGTAAACAAATCTTTTGATCGAAAACTCCCAATTACTTATTCAATTTTACTAAGAGATTTACCTTAAAGTCAACAAACCACAATCTTGTCAAATTACACTGTTATTTTATATCATTACTATACTAATATTATATTAACTGCTTAAATATTGTTGGAATACCAACAACTGTATTGTTACTGTAGTAGTCATAACTTGTAATACCTCGAATAGTGCGGTCTTAATCTGTCCGGATTCGTTATAGTCCGATTTGATAAATTCAAAATAAAATTCTAATTGAGAAATAGAAACTTTCGTTTTGTGCTTTATTTTTAATTCAAACAGAGCCGATTACCCGGACTGTGCGAGTTTTTGCTGTATATAGATTTCAGTCCACAAAACAATAATTTATAATTTATAAGATCATATGAGTTTGGTATTGATATTGATATAACAAATGTAAAATCTTTATAACTTATCCTCTTGTTACCTGAACATAGTTATAATTTAAAAAAAAAACAAAATGTTCCTTTGGATTCAAACATATTAAAATTAAGCAATTTTAAACTTAAATCGTATAATAAGTGAATTATATTACAAAAACGGATCAATTTTTATATACAGTGGAACCTCGCTTAATCCGAGTTTAATCCGTTCCAAATTTTTACTGGTATAGTGAAACATATTCAAAAATACACATAATATATTGTACACAAGATTTAAAAATGATGCAGCGGGCGCGAAATCCGGGACCTCACTTCTCATCGTCACTCGTTATGCGAAACGTCGCTCGTTAGGCGAGTCATTTTTCTTACAATTCATTTTGCTCGTTAAGCGAAATACTCGTTATGTGAGTTGCTCGTTAAAGGAGGTTCCACTGTATATATATTTAGTAATAATATTATTTTATAAACTTGTTTCATGGCATTCTGCTATATATTTTTTCTTACAACATAAAGAAAATGTATAGGTATTATAAGTATTACTTGAATGTAGGTTTATACTCACTTTGTGTTTCCAATTGCAAAACAAATCATTTGTGTATACAATATAAAGATTACATTAAAGTACCAA